AGGGCTGGAGAAATATCCTGGAAATTTGAGGATCCCTAAAAATCCTGCTGGGTTTTTTCTCCCTGAGACGTTTGCTGACAGTGTTTGGAATGTACAGGAAGCTGAGGCGTTAGGATGAAAACTTCTAAAATGCAGAGCGCAATTTTCTCTACTTTTGTAACTAGGCATTTGGAAACCACCGCCTAGTGAGGGAGGAGTCTAGCTCTAAGCAGCCAGCTGGTCTCCCTCTCAAGACATCTGATGCATCTGAAGTTGGTTGGGCAGAAACCTGGAGCCCTGAGCTCTCCCTTTGAAGGGAAGAGCTGAATCTTCCAGTTCCTTAGGGCTGACGGGATGGAAGCACACAGGCTCTCCATCCAAAGCCTGTAAGACACACAATGGAGAAAAGGAGACTAAAGAGACGTAATCCTACTAAAATTGCAAAACATCCTTGACTGAGATCAATCCTTGATTGCACTGAAGTACCAGCTCCTCACTGTACTTGAACAACCAAGGGAAGGAGGATTGCTTTACGGTGGATGTTAACATTGTCTGAAAACCCTACATTTGTTTTACACAATATCTGACATTTAATAAAAAATTACTAGATATGCCAGATGATGCGACTGACAAAACAAAACAAAACAAGCTCATTCACAGATTATCCCAATGTTAGATTTTCCTGATAAGGCATTTAAAATGACAATGATTAAAATGTTAAAGAAAATGGAGGAAAACAAAGGACAAAATAGACTTTGTCTCTTCTTTAATGGGGAATTCTATAAGTTGGAATTAAAAAAAAAAAACTTTAAAAAAATGTATATTCTAGACCAGGAGTTAGCAAATTACAGCCTGTGGCCCAAATTCAGCCCATTGCCTGTTTTTGCATAGTTTTACTGGAACACAGGCATGTTCACTTCTTGTCTATGGCTGCTCTTGGGCTACAACAGAAGAGTTGAGTAGTTAGAACAGAGACCATATGGGATGTAAAGTCTAAAATATTCCCTATTTATTTCCCTTGAAATATGCTGTAAGCTTTGACATATGAATTGCTCAGAACATCAAGATTTAATTAACACCTTCCTTCCAAATATTTTTTTCAATCAGCTCCTTTAGGGTAGATAGCATTCAATAAATGAGAGCTATTATCATCTGCTGAACGCTCAGTGAACTCAGGATTTTATTCAGGACCACATGTTAAAAACTTTGGGATTGTGAAGTTGAACTCAGATCCCAAAACTTTAACGTGTGGTCCTGAATAAAATTAGGAGGCTTCTGTCCATTTTAAAGTAAGTAATGTGCTTCAACTTTTCCTTGGCATTGTTGGGTTTTGCAATGATTATTGGAGTTCTGGCAGTGAGGACTCTGACAAACTTGAAATTTGGCAACAAGAATAAAAAGGCAGTCAAGTGCTATGTCTTGAGTACTTAAAACAAGAGTGTCCACATTCTTTCATGAGAGGGCCAAGTAATTAGAAATAGATATATGTGAATGCCAAATAACTGCTGTAATTAGCAATAACAAAGCTCACATTTATTGAGTATGTACTATGGGCAGGTAACAACTCCATTTAATTGGCCTTCGATGACATCTCCCTTGGTATTCTTTAAGAACTCCCACATGATTATAATGTTCAGCTAGGATTAAGAAACTACTAATCTAGCTTCTTCCCCCTGCTTTCCCATTACTTGCGGTGTTCCAGCCATACTGCACCACAAAAAACCGGCAGAACAAGTAACTCCTGTCTCTCAGGCTCACTTACCTCCACTTAATTAATGAATATTTGAAAATTAAAATCATCTGCTAGTTCCCCTGGCTGGCTAGATCATAGTATTGGTTTTTTCTCCTTAATTGCTCATTAGAAAAACAATAAGACTTGCATACTTTTTGGCTCAATAAATATTTGTTATAAACAAAAACTATGATGGCTATTGTTGCCTTTCTTTCCTCTAAATAAGCTGCAGTAATAAAATGTATTGTCCTCTTTTAGGGAATGTGCTGGGCATTTGTGCAATGATGCAGTGGCCAAAAATGTGTGATATGTGAGGAATTCTGCTGCAATGAAGCAAAATTCACCTGGATGGTAGGGAATAGGGGAAAAAATAAAGTAAACATACTCTCTGTCTCTGTCTGTTTCTCTCTCTCCCCGTCTCCCTAGTGTGCCCCCTGCCACGCCAGCTATCTATCTGAATTCTAAATCTAAAGAATTTGTGGGAGTCAGAACTGTTCTCTGTCACAAGCACTACCTAGCTTTGCTACTCAGACAAAGCATGGGAAGCTACGGGAGTAAGAGCATGATGCTGTGGGGAGGCTGATTTCATGTCCATCTCCAGTTGACTGTTTAGAGTCTACAGGATGTGGTCAACGCATTAGGTAAGCACTATTTAAGGCACAGATTGGTCCTATCCTTCCCTGAATATGTTAATGAGAAGATCATGATCCCTGGGCAAGTACTAGATGTGTGCATGTGTAAGTATGTGTATATTTCTGTATGTGTAAATAAACATAATTCATGTACAAAAATACATCTGACTTCAATCTTATACATCATCCATCCATCTACCTGTCTACCTACCTACCTATCTATCCATCTATAGCAATCTGTATTTTCCCACACGTACAGTTCAAGTTTATAATATGTTGAGTTCTAAAATTTTACTGTTATTGATTTTTTTTTTTTTTTTTGGGAGGAAGATTGGCTCTGAGCTAACATCTATTGCCAATCCTCCTCCTCGTTTTTTTCTTTCCCTCAAAGCCCCAGTAGATAGTTGTATGTCATAGCTGCACATCCTTC